CTGGGTCCACGAGGGCGCCCTCTGCTATGGCGTGCAGGTCTGCGAGGAGGGCCTGCTGCTGGTCCTTGGCTGCACCTTCATCGTTCAGCCTGCCTGGGTCAGGCTGGTTGAGCTGCTGCGCTAGCTGCTGTCTTGTGTTGATCTGCTGCTGCGTCTGACGGCCACTGTGGGTGCGGACCTGCTGCTCTCGGCGGCTACTCTGGCCACTGCCTGTACCTGGAGCATCATGTAGTTGTCTTCGCGCTGCTCCTTCTGGTGCTCTTTCGCCTATGACTTCTCGCATGAACCTCCGCAGGTTTGCGAGCTCCCTCCAGTGCATCATTTCCAATTCGTGCCTCCTCGTCGGCACCTCTCGCACAAGTCCTTGGAGAAAGCCTCGGCGTCGTGGTTCTGCATGTCTCCATGCTCGCTCGCAGAGGTCCCTGATGATGTGGCTGAGGCCGGCCTGCTGGTACCAACGTCTGAGCAGTCTCACCATGCCATTGTTGCCTCCGCCTCCCAGGATGGTCTCCAGGAACGGCACGCAGATCTGCATCCAGTTGCTGTTGTCCGTGGGGAGCTGCGCCAAGTTATCCATCCAGATGGCCGCCCAGTACTCCAGGTCGTCTCTCATGGCCACGTAGTCTTCCCGCTCCCGCTGGTGTTGGTCATCATTCCAGGGGTCTGTAGGGGGCAGGCCCATATCTCGTTGCTCATCTGCCTCTGGGCTTGGCGGCGCTTGGTTCTGACTCCTCAGGTGATCGGTACCCTCTGCCTCCAGAGTGCCAGCTGGCTGAGGAGGTGAGCAGTGCGTGTCACCTGGGGCGGTTTCACCAGGTCCAGCTGCCTGACGACGTGCGGTCTGGCCGTGGCCGTTGCCATCCAGCTGCCCCTCGATACGCTGGTGGTACCCATCGCAGTCCTCCTGGTCTGCTGTCTCCTGGCGGTTCTGGAAGCGGTCCTCCTCTTCCTCGAAGGGGTCGTGGTCTTGGTCGTCCATGGTGCTGCGCCCTGCTGGTGGGTGAGAATCAGGTCCAGCTGCTCGACGGCGAGCGGTCTGGCTGGACTCGCGGCTGGCCTGCTGCCCCTCGATGTATTGGTGGTACCCGTCGCTGTTTTCCTGGTCTGCGATCTCCTGGCGGTACTCCAAGTACTCCTCCTCATCTTCGAAGGGGTCGTGATCTTGGATGTCCATGGTGTTGCGCCCTGCTGGTGGGGGAAGGGCACCCCTCTGCATCCCTTCTGGGCAACTGTCTGCGGTGCTGTGGGTATGCCCCACGTGGAGGTCTGGGACGCCTCCTGCTGCGCCTCCACTGCCTGCGCTCCGCTGCTGCAGCTCGGGGGGGCCCTTGCCCCGCTCGGTGGGGGAGCGTTCCACCGAGCTTCCTCCCGAGCTCTTCGGTGGGCTCAAGGCTGGTGCAGGGTTGCCTTCTTCGTGGCCTTCCTGGCTGCCCGAAGTGACGGGGCCACGCTTCAGCTCCAACGGGCCCTGTCCTCCTCCCGAGTCCTCATCGGGACGTGTTTGGGTCTTGCCCTGTCGGCTTGCCGCTGCCTCCTGCGCTCGGGCGTCGCGGTGCGAGAGCTGCCGCACCAAGGAGGAGATCTCCGCCCACCACGCATGGATCTTCCTTTCAACCCCTGCCCATGGCGTAGAGGTGACGGTGTCCTTGATGCTCGCGCTCTTGTAGCTCGGGGGCCTGCTGTGCCCGAGATGACGTCCTCGATCTTCCTCTGGGATGCCGATGCTCTCGCACAGGCTGAGCTCGAGTGTGCTAGCGAAGTGATCGTACTGTTGCCCCAGATCCAGCATGTCCCGCTCCATCATCTTGCCGACGACAGTGCGCTGCAAGTGCTGGGGCAACTCGTCGTAGGCACGCAAGCTGACCCTCTCGGAGGTGGCCTGCCACAGCTCATCAGGGATGACGTGCTGGACCTCCTTGTCGTAGTACAGCTACGGCACTGGCTCCATGTCGTTTCCTTCCTGGTCGCATCCTGCCTCTGCCAGCGCTTGCTGACGTCGGCGCATGGCCTCCTGGCCTCCTCGCGCCGCTCGCCTGCAAGCGGCTCTGGACTTCGGCATTCTCTCAACTGCGACTGGTGGCTTTATGGCTGCTGGCCTGCGAAGTACCCTGCCCTTGAGCTTTAGAGGCCGCCCTCTCAGCTTCAAGCGGGTGCCAATGTGCGGCTTCCACGGCACGGTCCTGAGCAGCTCTAGCTGGTCAAAATACGGCGCCAGGCCCTGCGAGATCAGCGCGAAATCGATGCACCTGGCTTCGCCTCCTGCTGGGAAGCACGTGGGGGCGCCATCCTCCGCCGCTGCTACTTGAGCATTCAGCACCCTGGGCCAGATGCTGTTGTTGAACTCCGACGGCGTCATGTTGAAATCCCCGAGCGCTGCCCATGGCCCTCCCCAGACGGCCATCTTTTCCCGCAGGTCGCAGAGGATGCCGACGTTCCTCTCTCCGAAGCCCGTCCCACACTCGAGGTCGACGAAGGCCACTGCGAAGCGGACCTTGTGCAGGTCGGGGATCACCACCGTGACGTCGCTGCCGTCCTCGTGCAGGCAGTGCTCGTCGAAGCCCGCGATCCTGTCCTGGACGTCCAAGGATCCTCGCGTTATGGCACACGTTCCTCCACGAGTGCCTTCTCCTTCTCCTGGCCGTGCCTTGGTCCAGTAGCTGCGCATGCCTTTCCTACTGAGCGCCGCTCTTGCCTTGCATATCTGCGCAGGCTGGCGGAGGTGGTGCTCCGCGATGCCGATGATGCCCCTGTCCTTGGTGTCGTTGATCTCCACGAGGTAGCCCTGTGCCTGGGGGCCCCAGGTCGTGACATTGAAGGAGTCGATGTGGCAAGGGCGGCGAGTCTTCTTCGTGCTCGCCTTGGGGCGGCTACCCTGCTGAGTGGTCACCTTGCCCTTCTGCGTCGACGACTGTCTCGGCGCGCCTGGCCTGGGAGACCTTCTCTCGCGCCTCCTGGATGTGGGCCTCCACTCTAGCTCGGCGTTCCTCTGCTTTGCCATGTTCTGCTGCACCTGCTTCTGGTTGGGCAGCTGCCGCGGCGCCGTTAGGCGCAGCCGCAGCAGCTGACCCTGCTGCCTCAGCGCCTGTGGTGGCTCCTCGCCGAGGGGCTGGGCTGGCAGCGCAGACGCGCTTGCCTGGTGGGGCATCTGCTGCTTCCGGGTTTTGCTCTCCGCTCTTTGACAGGCGCTTGGTGCGGGCCTGCTCGAGCTGGCGCAGCTGCTCCTGGTGCCTGGCCGTCTCTTCCTCCAGAAGTCGCAGGTGCTTCGCCGTCTCCTCCTCGTGCTCCTTGACCGTCTGGGCCATGCGCTCACCCTTGGCCTTTGCAGCTCGCCAGACCTCCTTGTCTGGCCCGGACCACTTGTGGAAGTCGTCAGGCTCGTGCTCGAACTGCTCCAGGAGGGCTGCCAGCGTTGGCTTCTCGGCTGCGGGTTCGGCTGGTACCTCTTGCTTGCCGACTGTGGCCTTGAGCTTGTCGAACTCATCTTCTGCTGCAATGGATGCTTCCATAGCTTCACGAAGCTTGCGTTCACTCTCAGCCAAGTACTGCTGGGCACTCTCCACTTGCTCCCCTGCCGATCGTACCTTCTTCTGGAGTTTGTCCGAGCGCCGAGCTGCTGCCTCCACTGCCTTGAATCCAACGACTGGTTGATCTGCTGGTGGCTTGGCTGCGGCGAGCTCTGGCCAGAGGGCCTCGTAGTGCTGCTTGAGCGGGTCGTCCTTGCTGAGCTTGCCGTATGCTGCTGCAGCTGCGGCCTTGAGATCGGCGGTCTTGTCGTGAGGTGGTGGCTGGCGTTGGCCTCCTTGCCCTTTCCCGCCTGCACCACCTCCTGGCTGCCAACCATCTGCCCAGCTGATCCTGGGCGAGGTTCCTCCTTGGGGCTGTGCTGCCACCCACCCACCATCCTCGTCACGGAAGACGTGCCCGTCAGGGACGAGGCAGGCGAGATTCTTGCCGCAGATGCAGAGGTCGCCCCTGCTGGTGATGTTCTTGCAGTAGCGCCATCTGCTGCACCCGTCACACACCACGTAGCTGCTGCGAGGAGGGCGACTGCCACTGCTGCTCCTCTTCCACGGGGGCACTCTCTGGCGATTCGGGGTCCCCGACCAGGCGCTGCCCGCCCCGCGTCCGCCGCTGCCACTCCCCATGGCTGCAGCAGTGCCGCGCGCGCGCCCAACGCCCGTCTGGGAACTGTCCTCGGTCCAGAGGTCTCCCTTCGGCCTGGAGGCTGGACAGCCCCCCAGGTCGCCATCTTGAGCCAAAATGGCTACGGGGAGGAGGAGGAGGAGAAGGAGGAGGCCTCTTGGGGCCCTGTGGGTCCTCTTGGGGGCCCTTTTTATGGGCCCTCTGTGGGTCCCCCGGCGACCCTGTTGGGGCTCCCTCGGTCACCGGCGGGCCCCTCCAGCAGCGACTCCAAGCCGATGTCGCTTCGGGGCCCCCTCCGAAACGCCTGGGCGGAACGGCCGCTTTGCACACTCCAGAGTTCGTAATAAAGGGAGGGGGGTCTCATTTCGGGGGGGGGTCTCTCCCAGGCTGTCTTGGAGGGCCTGGGGGGGGTCTGGGGACGATGTTTTGGAGGGTTCTCCCACGGGGGGGGGGTCTGAAATGGCTTGTCTTGGAGGGTCCAGACCCCATCCCCTTTTACTACGAAATCTGGAGAAGCCGTCTTAGGGGCGATCTTGGGGGCCTAACGGGCCTAACGGGCGAGAACCAAATCACTGAAAACCGTAAGCAGAAACGGTTTTGTCCTCCTCCTCCTCCTCCTCCTCCTCCTCCTCCTCCTCCTCCTCCTCCTCCTCCTCCTCCTCCTCCTCCTCCTCCTCCTCCTCCTCCTCCTCCTCCTCCTCCTCTCCTCCTCCTCCTCCTCCTCCTCTTCCTCCTCCTCCTCCTCCTCCTCCTCCTCCTCCTCCTCCTCCTCCTCTGAAGGCCTTTGGGGGTCCCCTTTACTACGAAATCTGGAGCAAATCCGCGGGCCCCCCGCGAGCGCGCGAGCTGCCGCAGGCCTGCGCCGCGCCCGCCGCCCGCGCGGCTGCCCTCCGCGTCCCGGCGGCGGTGGTCGCCTCGCCGCCGCCGTCGGCGTGGCCGCCGCCGGTGCTTGTCGTCGTCGTCGTCGTCGTCGTCGAAGTCGTCGTCGTCGTCGTCGTCGTCGTCGTCGCCGTTGTCGTCGTCGTCGTCGTCGTCGTCGTCGTCGTCGTCGTCGTCGAGGCTCGGAAATCGAAGGTTCGATGACGGAGCCTCGAGGTTCAGGGATGGAGTTTCGGGAGCGCAGGTTCGAAACTGGAGGTTCGAGGGTGGAGGCTTGCGGATGGAGGATCGGCGATCGGGCATGGAGCTTGGAGCCTGTGTTGGCCTCTCCCGGGCCTCTGGACGCTTGTAGAGACCGACAGATGCCTCCGCAGTCGCCGCCGCCGTGCTCGTCGTCGTCGCGGCCCACGACGCATTCGTTGTCGCCGAGGTCGTCGTCGTCGTCGTCGGCGGCGGCGGCGGCGGCGGCGTCGTTGCCGTCGTCGCAATCGTCGTTTTCGTCGTCGTCGCCGTCGTCGTCGGCACCGCCATCGTGCTCATCGTCGTTGTCGTCAATCCACATGTTCATCGTCGTCGTTGGATTTATCGTCATCGTCGTTGTCGCCGTCGGCGGGATCGTCGTCGCCGTCACGGCCATCGCTGACACCTGTCGATGTCGCCGCTGCCGACATCGTCGTCGTCGCCGCCGTCGTCTTCGTCGACGCCATCGTTCAGCTGGTCGCTACGGAACCGAAGGGGTCAGCGATGTCCTCCCCCTCCAGTCCCGCAGCGGGGTAGGGCGGCGAGCGCGCCGCAGCGCTAGGGAGCAGGAAGGTTTTCCTCGGGCACTCGCTCCGGCAACCAAATCGTCTTAAGCCGGCTACGAGCCAGATATCATCGGTCGAGCGGTCAAGAGGGGGATAGAGACAGAAATAATCAAAACACAGGCGAATCTGGGCCAAGGGCCCGCGCTTTTCATCGCAAGGATAAGCCGACCTGTAATAGGCAAGATCATCAAAAAGCAGTGCTTTCCAGAAAGCTAGGTCTCGCGGTCGCGATCCACGAGAGGGAAATCTAAAAACTGTAATCTGAACGTTGCCTAGAATACTCCTCCGAGAATTCCAGGAATTCACTATGCAAGGGGCGGTCGCGCCCAATCGGATATCGCACAACGAGGGCGAGGGAGGAGGACTAGAAAATTACACGCACAGCGCTGCACTCGAGCGTACAAACTAGGACGAGCTGCGGCACAGGATATTTTGGAGGGGAGGAAGAGAAGCGAGATTATTAGTCCATCTAAGGCTCAAGCGCACTCGGCATGAACTCTCCACCTTTCGCCAACTCCATCACTCTTGACACCCAGCGCTCTCGAGCAACGCGCCTGGCTGTCTTCGCCATCTCCTCATGAAGCTCGATGCTTCAGGTCCCACGTGCTAGAGCTTCTCAAAGATGGTCGGCTGGCATATCCTTTGTCGCTACATCGATCAGCATGTTGGTGCCGTCCGTCCATCGCTCCATCTTCTGCGGCCTGTCTAGAATCTCCTTTGTGTTAGTCAACTCCAGTTTGACTGACTTCTGCGCCGAGCTGCCCACTCCTGCGTCCGAGTGGGGTCGATCATGTCCGTCCTTCGAGTCCATCACCACAGTCACTGGAATCTGCCAGCCCGACAACTTTTCGCCGGCGCCCCTTGCCACGGGGCCATGAAACATCTCCGCAATCTGGTCTCGGTTCCTTGGGCCACGTCGACAGCGTCACCCACAGAGATCACCTCCGTCGCGTAGGAGCTCCTCGCAACGCGTTTCAACTTATGGCTCTTGCCCTCTTGCAACGAGAACCTCCCGACGCCGCCGTCCACGAGCTCCCTATCCGCGAAAAGGATAAGGAATCCAGCCTGCGCGCCAATCTTCTCCGTCGCCGGGTCTGTCATCAACGACGCTCCGTCACTCATCGCGTTGCCCAGCGAACTGTCCAAGACCACCGCCAGGCCAAACGGCTTAAGGTCGATCGGTCGCATCGCAAGCTTGTGCGTTGAGTCGCGCTTCAGCTCCCTCAGCACCTGGTTCGCCTTGATCAGCGCCGAAATCCTCGGCCCTCTCTCGCGCCCCTTCTCACGCTGCAGCACCGCCAGGTCGCGCGAATAGTCCACGCGCAGCTTGGTCACCAGCCAGTTAATATTGCCAACCACCTGCCGGTGCTGCTTCCACTCCGTCGTTTTCATGGGCTGATGTGCAGCTGCGCATTCCGGCAGCGTATTCCATCGTGCCAATCGCGATGGCTCCCCCAGGCTGTCTTTGGAACCGTCTGCCACAGAGAGCGAAGTGATCGTGCTCTTCGCCCCCGAAGCCAACCTCCTTGCCCAGGGCATCCATCACCTTCGCCATCTCGTCGTTTCCCGCCCAGAGGAAATCGCCCACGCGCATGCAGACGCAGCCCCACAGACAGTCTGGCCCTCGCTCCTTCACCTTCGGGTCGCGCAGCACCAGGAACGCCTGGTCCGATCGAGAGGGCTCCAGTCGCAGCTTCCGCGCAGCCGAGACCACCCTCAGGCGCCACAGCCCCGGCGCCGCAAATAGTCCGAACACCCCCTTTCGAACTCATGCCAGTCGGCCTCGCGGGGAATCTGCAAGCGAGGGACCATCAAGAGGGGCGCGAATCACCGGACCGCGCTCGTCCACCTCGCCCTTGAAGGAAACGCCGCTCACGTCCTTGGGCCCGAACTCCCACTCCGGGTGCGACGCGGCCGTCTGCGTCAGGATCATCTCCAACTGCGTGGTCGCGCAGGGATCGCCCACTCGCGCATTGGCCTTCTCGTCCGAGCGGCCAGGGTCGCCACTATTGACCACGGGCTTCGCGTTCGCCTCAAGCGGCAAATCGTTCGCATCCGTCCTCAGCGGGTCGATCTTGTCAGTGAGCACCCACCGCGCGCTCATTGTCTAGGCCGGGCTTCATCTCTTCCTCGAGCTCGGCGGGCTCCTTCTCGACAAGCACATCCACCGATCCCGCGTCGATCCACTTGGCCCGCTGAGCTGCCGCCGCGTCCTCGTTGTTCACCTTGGTCGGCGGGTCCATCCAACTCCAGACATTCTCCCTCCGAGTGACCCTGCGCCGGCATTGTCGGTCAGCCGCAGTAGCACGCTTGAGCCATGTCGCGGCTCTCTTCGCCACTCCTTTGCCCCAGACCGCCTCGTCAGGGTGCTTCGGCCCCGGCGGCCCTTCACGTCCTCCACGGGATGGCACCTCTGGCAGGTCAGCTTCCTGAGCGTCAAGCTTCCGACCATGGGGGGGATCTTCCTGCACGGCCTGCGACGGGGCCGCCGCGGGCTCCTGAACTGCCTCGGACTCCACAAGCGGAGAAGTGCTCGGAGCGAAATTGCCGCAGGGCCCGAACCGGCCCTCAGGGGTGATGGTCGCCGCCGGGTCCGATCGAGCAGTTGGGGGCATGGACCCCGCTCTCGCACCTTTCTCGCGCGCTTCTGGACAGTCTTCGACGCGCGCAGCACCTTGGACTTGCTCGGATCGCCCTGGTCTCGCAATCGCTGCGCCACATCATGTAAAAAGTCCGTCTTTCCACTCTCCCGGGAGGTCGCCGCCCTCGAGAACTCGGCACTCGAAATGGGATCACGCGAATCACTGGCCGACGCACCGGTTATAGCAGCCACCGCGGCCGAAGCCAGGATCTCGTTCGTCGGCTCCTGCTGTTCCTCCTGCTCAGCGTGGCCCCCCACTGCCTCGTCGGCTTTCGAAGGTCGAGCCTCCGCCTCGGGCGCCTCAGGTCCATCGCCTTCAGCTCGGTCATATTCGTCCACTTCCTCGCGCGCCTTGTTCGCGTCTTCCACGTTCAGCTCCCCGTCGCCGTCCATCTCGAGCAGCACCTTCTCTATGATGTCCATCTGCTCCCTGGCGCTGACGCCCGGCGCCTCGCCGGGCGACGGGCGGCGTCTCATGCGGGACGTAGATGGCCGCCGGCTCGCATCCGATGGCGACAGCCGGCCCGCGCCAGGCCTTGAAGATCAAAGCTCGGCCCTTCCCCCGCCGGTTCTTCCGCTTGCCCTCGCGGTAGAAGTAGACCGCGTCGCCGAGCTTCGCATTCGTGCTTGGAGGCGTCATCCTGCGGCTCCGAGCTACCAGAGCTCGCCGCAGTCGCTTGCCGGTGCCCAGCTTCTCCATCGCCGCCTTGCCGCGCAATAGACCTGCAGCCGCTTCATCATTCCAGGGCCGTTGTCCACCGCGTCGTGCGACGCGAGCTGGGAGCGGCCGCGCTCACTCAGCAGCCCCCAGGGCAGCGTTTGGGATCGCCCCGGTACAAGTTGTGCCGGCGAAAATCCTGACTCGTTGATCCTCTGGTACTTGGCTCAGGTTATCATCGCAGCAGCGGCCGTCACTTCCGACTCAGTCCCGATGTCCGCCTCCGTAGTACTGGCCCTCCAGAGCACCTTCCATGCACCTCCAGCTCGCTCGCGCATGCAAGTCTGCCGCGGCGCCTCCGCCGCCGCGAACCACACTTGCACGCGGCGGCCCTCTAGCAGCCGGAACGCATCCTTGTAGGACTCGCCCCCATTGTCACATGCCAGCGAGTTGGGCACGCCAGCCCAGCCAAACCAGACCAGCTCCAGCACCTGGGCCACGATGCCGGGATGCTTGCTCTTAGTGGGCGCCACCTCTGGAAGCCCGTCTTGATGTCGACAAACGTTGAGCATCTCCAGCGCCGCGCCCGCGTTCGCGCGCGCCGTGAACAGGTCGATCGCGATCTTATCACCGAACTCCTTCACCTTCTTAAGTCGCGCGGGGAACCTGGCGTGTCCAATGGCAGGTGTGTTCAATGCGTGGCACACCGGGCGCTGCAACTGCACCGCCGCAGCGATGGCCTCGTCGCCTGCCCCGCGCGCGCGGAACGCCCGCGCAAGCTAATCCTTCGGGCCTGAGCACAGACCTGAGCACGGCGTTCCGAACCTCCTGCGATACCTTCGTCTCCTTCAGCGTCATCAGATCCTCCTGGGTTTCTTCTGTGGCTGGCAAGTCCACGAACCCCCGATCATCCACCTCATCTGGGCCCCC